TTCTTTTTCCTTTCAAAATGTTTTCTATTTTATAATTATTTCTTGATGTAATGTTTTCTATAATTTTTCTGAATGTTTATAAATTTTCAAGATTAATAATGGATGATGGAAACAATAAAAAACTTGAAAATCAAGTCAAACAAATTTTGAAATCTATCTACCCATGAATTGAAAACAACCTATCTTAGTTATTCACTGACACCTGTGCTTATGTTCATGACTTTGATATTATGATTTACACAGTGTACATGCAATTACATCGTAAACAGAAACCGAAGTAGCTAAATATATGCTTTTGAGCTAAATCACATTCTACGTGTTTAAAGTAAATACCTCTAATTTTCATAATGTTCAGCAGGGAACACAGAACAAGTCAGACACTGTGACAGTAGAGCGCTCTTAAGAACAGGGGCCCAGATAGGAAGTCACAGTTACTACCCCTGAGTCCTTTCTCTTTGCCTACCATTCTTTGTTTTAGATGACAAGAGTGTCACACACTGGGTGTCATCCAAATGATATGCATTTCAGATTTACCTTATTTTCCTATGTCAGTACATAAGAATTTTATGAAAACGTTGTCATAGGTAATAACAGTTTCACGAGCTACTTACTTTCTTTCATGAATACCCTAAACTCTTCTCGTGAATTAGTTCAGCTTTTACAACTCTGTTTGGTGGTTTCTATGATTAGTGCTGTCTACTACATAAAAAAGTCTTCACATGAAGATAAACCATTGTCTAAAGTCTTTCTGTTACCACATGCTCCATGATGTTGAGACTGAAAACACTCTTCATCTTGCTGTCATTGGAAAGTAGACATTACAACGGAAACTTCTGAGTTGGTACAATTTATTCTCTACCAATTCACACTTGGAACTTCATATAAAATGATAGCTAGTACTTATTCAATTTGTGCAATATATAATAATTGCATTCTTGTCTTGATAGAAGATATATAGTTATAACTAATCAACCTTATTGGTGAAATGATTCAGGTGCTGGTGACTGACAGATAGAAAACTCATTTTGTGAAAATAAAACACCACAGAAAATACAAAAAAAAGAATGTTCTTATGTTTTCTGCTTATATGAACTTCCAATGGAAGAAATCATACTTTTAAATACTACCTGTCTTATGAAATAGCTTCAATAATTGAGCCCCATCTATTAAAGTGACTTTTAGCAACTCTTCTCACAGTTACTCAGAAACAGTTATACACATTATGTCACCAATCACACAGGAGAAAATGTCACTTCACAGCTCAGCAATCCCAGACCTTCCAAGTAGGAAGATCAAGTTCATCCTTTCAATTGCACAGATTTTGATTTGATACAATTGTACAATCAACACATAAAGGTTTAAACTGTTGCTGCCATCAGTCACAGAGAAAATGTAATCTACAAAGATATTCCCAAAACTGGCACTTTAAGGAGTGCTACTGGAAATAGGTTCTTAGGGCTGGAATTGCTGCCTCAGGCGCAAATACAGTCTCTTTCGCACATTCCTGTTAAAGACACTTCTGTGATCCATTTACACAAAAGGATACAATTCTTTAAGAGTGTGTGCATCAGACTCCCTGTGTGAAGGACTTGGGTGGGGAAACTCACAGTACCTCACACCATTTCACTGTAGTTAAAGGAGAAACACATTTTCTTAAAAGTGTCTACATACAAATGAGTTTGCTGGTGTCCTCTCTCCTATGACATATACAACAGCTTCATGCTGAGGTTGGAATGATGCACAGAAGATGTGGGAGCCTTGGGCATTCACAGCGTACATTGCTGGAAATAGATTCCCACGGAAGCATGGGGTACAGCTGCTGATCAGGGCCCAGAGGAGACCTCACAGGTGATTCCTACTGAGATGACAATAAGCGACCATCTGTTCAAAATTGCACCTGATAGAGAAACCATCAGAAGTTGGTAGACCTTCACTCCTCCCCTGCTATGCCTTGCTCCTCAAGTCACTTGAAATCTCACATTCCAAAGGCGTCAGCGGCATGAACACAGCATCAAAGAACCAAGGTTCAGAACTAATGCCCAAGCCTCCTCCAGTACACCAGGGATCCTTTTCAGGAATAACTTTCAAAGAACTGACCTCCCACCATCCTTTCAGTCCCCACATTTCCTGTTTCTGAAGTGTAGGTAATGCCTTGGAATAGCAATTCAATCCTCCTGCAAAATGAAACTGTTTGAAGAGTACAGCCATTCTCTCCAAAAGCTCTTCAACCTTCCCATGCATTTGTGTTCTTTGACCACATGCATTCATGCACACATTAAGTGGATCTCCGTATTAGCTACATTTTCAAACCATTAGCTTGACTGTACCCTTGAATTTCTATGTGCTTTCTAAACAGCAAAGACAATATGCCAGGAAATTGAAGTCTTTTTTTTTTCTTTAAAGCTCAATGGGGCTCACTGTGAAAACAGAGGAAAATGCTTGTCAGAATGAACATTCATGTTTCTTTCAGAACAAATGAAGTAAGTTTAAGCTAGGAGTGTTGATATTGTTCATGTTTGATGTCTATGGGGTCTCTAATTGTAATGGTAAGGGGGAGAGCAAACAGAATAGACAGCTACCAATCTTTCCTATTTAAAAGGCAGAACGAATTATCTGAGGATAACCACTAGAACACTACTCTGACAGCTAGAACACTACTATAAAGCACCTTTCTTCTTCCAACTACAGCATCTGTTTCAAAGCAGTCTTTCTTTCCCTTCTGGACAGAGGTGAACACCAGGCCTACAGCAGACAAAGCAAGCAGTTCTGAGGAACTCCACTGGGAAAGACACATGTCTGGACAAACGTTCTTCCACATTAGAGTTGCAGCTCCACATTCCTTAAAATGAGAAGGAACTTTAGAATCAACAAGTGGCGATTGTCACCCTCTGTAGATTTAGCCAACACAGTGTAAGCATGTGAGATGCAACTGCTTCATATAAAGAACACTAAGAAAGTTAACAGAAAACCCTGTCACCGGTGACCGTGGTTGAGCCATGCAGTGTTGCTCAACAGTACAGCAGGCCCATCATGGCTAATGTGACTGACTTCACAGAGGTTTGCAGTCTGGGCTGTAACCTTTATGCTTGCCCTGTGACAGTAAGAACTGCTGAATACTGGAAGGAGAATGAACTTCTGTGGGAGTTCTTTAAAGCCCATTCTCTTCTGTGAGTGACACCCGGACAGTGTCACATTCATTTTCAAGTAAGTGAACCATTAGAAGGGGACCTGGGGATCTAGTCCAATAAAATGGCTCAGAGCAGTTATGTAAATGGTTACTAATTATGCAAATTCATTTTTCAAGTCCATCTTGTATCTTTTTTAAAAGTCAAATGCCAACACTAGAGAATGCTCCTTTCTATTTTCAAATCAGAATAACTTAGTATTTTGCAATAAAAGTGTTGACCTTCAGTCTTAATGATATTTATAGAAATTAACACTTTCATAGATAGGGAAGTGATGGTTCTTGGGTTTACAGAACTAAAACAAGGTTTGAGTGGAGGCTGTAGAGTTCGTGTACTCCAATGGCAGCTGCTTTAAAGAACAAAAGGACTACCGGATCTCAAGAGATGCTTACTGCCCTGCATGCCACTGTGGGTTGGGTTTCCCTGCCACCGTTAACTGTTTAATGACTATGTTGACTGGCATCTACCTAAACATAAATTTTAGAACTGCCCCTTCTTCAAAAGAACACAGAAATAATTATTAAAGCAGAAAGTGGGAGCAAATGACTAGGACCCGGAGACTAACTTTATTAGTCTGTCGGCACTTATTGTAGTGTTCAAAAGAGCTCGTTGTTTAAGGAAGCAATGGGAACCAAAGTGGATTTCTGTGCAAACCGTAAGAATACTATGAATTGCAATGACAAGCAAATCTTCAGAAGAAATAAAACTCAAGTTTGATTTCAGTCTTATAAAGCCACTTGGCTCTGTTCAAGAAAGGCAAAATTTATCAATTTTTGGAGCTAAATGGAGCTGTTTCTGCATGGAAAGAAAAAGCAGGTTAATGCTGGCCTGACAGAAACATGTACAAGAAACAGAAGCATGGATTCAACATCTTTTAAGAGTGCGTGAGCCTGCTTCCCCCTTCCATCTGAATCTTGTACAGTTGTGTGTCTCTCCTTTAGTTTTGGTGACTTACACAAACAGATATTGTCTCCATTCATGCGAATTTGAAAGAACCTTGTGTGTGTTATTTTATTTCACGGAGGCCAAGGGAAAGGGATTGCTGCCAGTAGGGTGCTCAAGGCTCGCAGAATAAATTCAGCCCTGGGCACTGAATCAGGCCACCCTTGTGCTGTGCCAATGGGAGAAGAAAACAAACCCATCACCAACTTTGAGACTACACCCCAGCAGCAGTCACAAAGCACTTCTGTCAGTGCGTTTGAAATCTCCAGTAAAAATGGGTCCTCTGTACTGGGGCTGAAATTGTCATCAGCAGCCAAGTGATGGAGCACAGTGCCCCATTGTTTCCAGCTAGGTTCTCCTCTTCTTCAGTGCTGTCTTCTAACTCTAAACCCAGCCAAAGGAAATTACCTGCCACCAAGTCCATTTAAGACTTCGGACAGGCCATCCACGGAGTTTGGGGACTACTGCACAAGTCTTAGCACCTTCTGTTTTCTCTGGCTCCCTGAACCTTAGAATTCATTCCACCGGGTACTGGAGTTCCCTAATTACCAGCAGAGGTCTAACATAAACATAAAGCACTTCCTAGGGACATTCCCCTTTCTCCCTACTTTCTCTTTATGGTGTCCTACTTCAGCACATTCTCTGTTCCTGACTACAGGGCTCTGGGGGTGGGGGTGGGGTGTCTTCATTTTACTCTGAAGGGAAGCTCTTGATACCCCGAGCTAGGCAATCCTAAGACTTTCTCCAAGGGGGCTGGGGGAACTATAGAAGGGCTCCTCTCTCTCCAAAGACTCTGAGTCTTAATCACTCAGCTAACATCTTGCTTAGGCGGGAGGTGCCTCTCCCCTGACCAGCTCATGTTTCTGGACTCACCTGGTGCTGAAGACGAGTGCAGGCAGCAGGGACAGCAAGTAGTGTGCAGCGTTGAATTTCATGTCGCTGTCCTCTGGGGTACTCCTTCACTCCCCGCTACTCTTTTGCCTCCTCTGGTCTGGTTGGTCGCTACTCGCCGTCCTCTCTTCTCAGGAAGCCCTCTCCAGAGACCCACAAACACACTGATAGAGGCGTTGTGAAGGCAAGGACTAGAGAGCGGGTTTCTTCAGGAGTGATGTCACCCGCGAACCCTGCCGGGATGGTCCAGCGCTGTGGTCAGGGCGCACAGCGCGGGTGTATCCGCCGGCGGAGGAAAGGACCCGCGTCCAGGTCGCTGCTCCGGTAGCCAGTTACACTTGGTCACTCCCGTGCGCACTGAAGCAGATCTCCTCTTCCCAGCTCCCACTGAAGACCGGAGGGGAGGGCGGTGGCAAGGACCAATCTCTTTCTCCAGTAATTGAGCTGCCGTGCTCCGCAGAGTGAGAGACAGTTAGCTGGGAAGGACTCCAGACTCTTCAGGGTCCGGAGCAGACCAGCTTGCAAAGCTTTTGCAGAGATGTTGCTTGGAGAGTAAGCTTAAAATACTGTGCTGTTTAGATGCATAATGGCTTGCTTGCTGTGGACGGAGAGTAGCAGCCGCCGCCAGTGCAGACCAGAAGCTGGCTCTTACCCACAGGAGGTTAGGAGGTTTCTATCATGGAAATGGGCCGGGACTAACACAAAGTCCGCTGCTCTTGGTTCTGGTGCGTACGGGTTTTCTCTTTTCTGGTCTCTGCGCCTGTCAGCTGCTCAAGGGTGTGCAGCTGGCTGCCCAAGTTAATGCACCTTCAAGGATCCTTTTCCTGTAGGCAAACTCCTCAGCAAGATCACCGAGACAATTGTTATTAACTCTATGGTAGGGGGAGGAAGCAAAGGACTCTAGATGCCACCGCATTTTGTGAAGTTTCTAAATGTTGCATTCCAAGCACGGAGTGTTTAACAAGCTTTATTTAGGGACTTTTGTCAGAAAAGGGAAACAGCACAACTTTAAAGCAATCTACCATATTGAAAAAATCAGTTTTAAAAGAAAGGCGACTTTACCCACGGAGATGTGAAACTCCATGGTCTTCACATCAGAGGTCGTGTGTGTGTTTGTGTGTGTGTGTGTGTGTGTTATAAGAAAGTGGACATGGCATTCCTCTCAAGAGTCAGTGTACTAAAGTAGCACTACAATTTTCCTACAAAAATGTGAGGAAAACAGGGATTGCCAGTGTCTTGACGGAGCTTTTGTTTCCTAAACAAAGAACTAGGTATCTATCCCAAGTCCTATGACAGCCTAGCTGCTTCTGCGAATGTCACAACTGAAGTTTGTCTGCACTAAAAGAGTCAGGCACATGCAAATTTCAGAGGATGAAGGGCGGCAGATGCTGTCCCCAAGGCTCAGTTGATGACCCGTGTTCTCTCCAGGCAAGCCATTTAGAAGGAAAATCCCAAAGAATAACCTGCTATAAACTCAGTATTGAAGACGTATTTGATGATAAAATAGCGTATTTATTACTCTAAAATGTGTGGAAATGCAATGTATTTCATTCAAATGTACTGTTTTGTTCTGATTTCCTTACTGATGAGGCTAAACTTAAAAGTGCACTGACTGAAATTTATTGTGAGAATCTCAAGTTATTAAAATGAAGTATTAATATTTTAAGTGAAAGTCAACCCTTTGGCAGTAGAAACATCTACAATAGTTATAGCTATAGTCCGACATAAAGTAGCTCCCTCCTGAATTGGATTTTAGGAGGAAAAAAAGAAAACAACAATAATAACCCTATAATAATTTAAAGTTCAGTTTTCAATGGGAAGGAGACCCAGAGAGTTTTGTTTTGTTCTGCTGTGTAAGCTAGGCAATCCTCAAATTTGCAGCAATCCTCCTGTCTCAGCTTCTTGAATGCTGCCAAGCTTATTTTTAAAGGTGACTCTCTAAGTTGTATGTTAACAAGAGTATACCACTTTGCAATAATAACAAAAATGTGTATAACAAGAAATAACACTCATCTGAAGGATATAATTCTGCTTATTATACACCAAGTTTGCCCTCAATATTTTAATGTCCTCACCACGTGAACCCAGTTCTAACGTTACCTGAAAGAGTTAATACTATTATAGCCAAAACTGAATCCATATCTAAGGGTGCTAAGAAGTTATCTGAAGATGACGTTCCCTCTCCCAACAAAGTTTGTTTTCAGCGTTAGGGATATAATTTAGGGATTGATTATAATTGGTATAGGGTTTGGGATTGGGGGGAATTTTATAGGCTCTGGGATCTTTCAAAAAAAGGGGGGAAATTGGATGGGATAATAAAATAGTGTGAGCTTACTCACACTAATAATAATAGTGAGTGAATACTTGTGAGTTATTATTTATAGGGAATTACATTGTTATAGATTCTTGTATATTGATACAAAGTTAAATTATATTGAATATTGTATGCATGCACGCTTCTACCTCTGCTTAAAACATTTTTATATATTGATATATATTTATCATATTGCAATGTACCTCTGATCAAGATACTTATACATTGTTTACATTTTGAGGTCATTGTTCTTGTTTGTTGCACAGTTGTTTATTGTTTTAGTCTTTAAGTTATATAGGCATTATGAATTATAGATCAATAGTCATCTATGTTTGTCACACTTATAGTTAGACTAATCAGATTCTTAAGATACATAGAGATTATTTTCTGCATACATAGGTAATCTTCAACCACTTCAAAGAGCTGTAGAATATGACATTTAAATAACTTAGAGTTCTGTTGAAGTGAGGCAATTGCTCCTGGCAGCACCAATCTATTCTTGAGAGAATGGTGAGTACCAAAGACACTCCACTTGGAGCTTGTTTTCTTTTTGGCAAAACTGGCCTTTAGGCAAAGAAATGCCCATGCCTCAACCACTGACAAGATACATAGTATCCAGAAATGGATAAGCAGGACTGTCAAATCTTGTCAAGACAGGATAAAACAGTTTTGAAAATTTTCCTGCCTTTGAACATGGTCTGTCAGTTATTCTAGGCCTTAGCCAAAGTTAGTGGCTTCAACGTTGCAAATGAGACTTTGGGTGATTGCCCAGGTAACCAGTTGTCTCTGCAATTTGTTGCACATTTTGGAAGTTGCTTGATTGCACTTCCTGCTTACTCAAGTAATATTATTTCTCTTCTCAGATCTTCAATGGGGTCGAAGACTACATAATTGTAGTTACTTTCCTCTCATGACGTAGCCAAGTTATTTATTATACAAGACTTAAACTAGTTAGGATAGGATATTTGTTCTTATTGTATATAATTTTGTATTAGGCTTAGAACGCTCTTCCTTAAACAAAAGGGGAAGATGCTGTAGTTACTCAACTACTGAGGCGTGGCCTCTTATACTATATATGCTGATATAGAGGCTGTGTCTGCCCCTTCTTCCCAGGCTGCTCTTTCAGATTTCTGGATTCGATTTCTGTTCTCCGTTCAAGCAGAGGATTCTGATTTGTGAGTTTACCCCTAAATCAATAACCATCTATATCTCAATTCTGAGCTAGTGTGGGATTTCTTTTAAGCATCCATTCCACAGTCATTCCCACTTTTTGCATCTTCCACAGTCGTCTGATTAAGAGTGGTCCAGTACCTGACATGAGTTACTAGTCATTTCCACAAAGCAGTGGCTGTTCAATTTTTTTTTGACATCACTCCATGACATACACTCTTGAGGGAAAATAATTTGTGATACCATAATTTAAGTTCCCAACATAAATTTTATTACTCTACCACTATACATTAAACATGAAACAATAATGGAAAAATTTCAGATTATCCACTAAGGAAGTGAAGAATATGAATAATGCTTGTGCTGGGTCTCCAAGTCCTGTGGTATGCTTGATTGGACACCAATAAAAGTTGTTTAAAGGGCATTAAAGCATCCAGGAGCACTTGGCAGGATTAGAGGCTTAAGTAGCTACATTCAGCCAGGTGGTGGTGGCACACGCCTTTAATACCAGCACTAGAGAGGCAGAGGCAGGTAGATCTCTGTGACTATTATGATGTTTTCAGTTCTGAAAGTAGGTTCATCTAGGTGTGGTGTCGTGGGTCCTTAATTGCAGATCAAGAGACTGAGGTAGGGGAATAATAAGTTTGAGACCAATGTGGAAAACTTAGCAGGACTTTGTCTCTGAACAAACTACAAAGAATTAAGGGTGAAGCTCAGTTGTAGTGTGCTGATCTGGCATGTGTGAGGCCTGGGTTTCATTCCACTCCGTATAATTTACCCTACTCCATTTAGTGTCAACTTTTATAGGTTTATAGGAGTGGTCAAGTTCCTTCATGGTACATGGCTATCAGTGGTTCAACATTCATTTGTTGAAAGAGTTATTCTTATTCCAGTTTCGTTGTTGTGTATTTCTTCTCTCTCTCAATACTAACTTTATTTTCCTTACATTTTGGATGGACTGAATGTTATGCTGCCATATCCTAAACTACAATAACCTCTAACATTTCAGTTTTGACCTCCTGATTTAAACTTTATGTTTTTACTCCCGAGTCGGACTTGCTACGTTTTATGGATTTTATTCTGCACAAGATGGCTATGGATCTCAACTTTATCTTCATCGCGGAGTTCTTCACTGACCTCATACACATATTTCCTGGCATTCCGTGAGACAAATTCAATAACATGGAAACCTTTTATGACCTTTCCTCTGTCACTGAATATTTTCTAATATTTCTTTACCTATGTCTCCCAAGTTCTAAACATGAGATTCAAGACTTCCTTCAGCCTCTGTCTCTCGTGGAATTGATCACCTAATTATGCAGGTTATACATATTCATTCATGCCACTCATTTAGTCAGTACAGCTCTGCCCTGGGGTTCTCCACCTCTAGTTTCATAAATAAGCCTCTGACCTTCAAGGGGATTTGTTCAAGTGTATTACTCTGGCCAAAGCTCACTCAACTGAAGACATCTGAGGCCTCTCAGACCCTATCCTCAAATATTGGACTCCATGTATGTAACTTTTCTCTTCATTTTTGGTTCTATGTTGTTTCATTTTAAAGACTGTTTCCCCTGATAGGTCTGTAGAAGTCCTCCTGATAATCTGTTTTCATTTCTCTGTCTCTGCCTATCACCCTCTTCTCTCTCCTTCCTTCTCTCTATACCTGAGGAACAAAGACAATCATGTCCTATCAAGACCACAGTTTCTCTAGAATCTGCCCCTTATGCACTGAGGACATGTCCCTCCAAGTTCTATATCATATGGTATTTGACTTGGTGTTGTATTTACACCACATTTTCCTGTTCCACACCAAACAACAACGTGTTAAAAAAAGACATAGAAAATTTCTTAATTGTTCTAAGCATTAAGAAAGATGATGGTATTATAGAGAGCTATAATTTGTGTACATTTCTGTAAGCCAATTATTAATTTTCTAGAGTTGAATATGTAAATCTGGGCAAGGAGAGCTAAAAAAAAATTTTTAAAAATCCCTTACTTTCCTGAAAACTTGTTTCCTGCTTTTGGCCTTGCTGTTTTATCACTTCTAATTAAGACTAAGAAGAAACTGTCTAATGAAATGAAATATTTATTTTGAAAAAAAATGTCCAAATTGTCCTGGAAGCATGAGGGAACATGGAATTCCAACAAACTCCTGTTATTTCTACGCAGAACCAAAAAATTACAAATATAAATAAAATAGAAACTTTTTAAGACTGCCAAGCCCAGTGTCTTCAAATGAGTGTCTGGATGGCTTTACTCTGTTGAATCTCATCCTCTTTCGTCTTTGCAGTTCACATGGATGATGAAGGAGCTCTTGAGTGACAGTTCTGTGCATGGAGACCTCTGT